ACTCTTGGTTCTCCTCAGAGRGCCAAGAAAGCCAAAAAGGGGACACCCACGTCTCTAGCTGGAGCCTCTCAACAGGTTTCAGTTATTGAAACAAGCCTTACCCCCGAGGCATTTTCTGTTAACCCCCCAGCTCTTCAGTGATCTCTCCTATCACTGTCGTATCAGTGGTACCTTCACCCATCACTTCAGTGACCCAAATCACTGAAAGTGTAGATATCAGCGCCGCCATCGCTGAACACCCATGTTTTTTCTCAACCATTTTCTCTTCTCCTCCCTCCTTGGTCTTTACACATGTCGATGTTGTATCAGTGACTGTCCTTCCTGATACTGAGACATGCACCACAGGACCTGAGGTTGCTCCTCTTGATGCTCCTCAGCATACGGATGTCCATCCTCTCGAGGACTTCTCCACTCTCCCCAGTGGCACTCCTTTTGATGTCAATGAAGGCACCTCAGGTATTCCATCTTCCTATCCCTTCATTTCTTCTAACCTTGAGCCTTTAGCTCATACTTCTTCTTTTGCATGTTCTTCTTTGATGCATCAGCCTGATGCTCATGAAGGTGGAGGAGATGTTGGAGAAAGAGAGAAAGATGATGGAGGAGATGAGGATGTCGATGATGACTATGATATGGCATCTGATATCAAGCTTCTCCTTCCAGCCGTTGATACCGTCCTCTCTAAGGTCAACGAAGTTCACCAAGAGATGTCCCGCCAAGGCGATCTTGATGCAGACTTCCTAGCCCTCCAGGAAGACGTTCATGAAGTTCAGAGTCAGCTCCAGACTCTCCAACAAGCTGTTCACGCCAACAATAATGCCATTGCTATTCTTCACAGTAGGGCTGATGATGCTCAGGCGATTGCTGATCAGCAACTTGCACTTCTTCAGCAAATCCTGGATGTTGTCCGTCAACCAACTCCAGTGAGTGCACCCTCCTTCTTTGCTGATGATCGTGCTCAGCTCCATGAGATACGTGAGGCAACGACAACTCTAGCCAATGCTTTGCAAAGGATGGAGGATTCCATGGTTCTCCAGCGACAGCACTTGGGCGAACTCTCTGGCCAAATCTCTCAAGTTTTAGCCAGAGAGGGGGATATGAGGTCCAACGCTGGTGGATCATCAGATGCTGCTCCTACAGCTTCTCAGGCTGTTGGTCTAGTATCAGCTTCAATTGCAGTAGAAATCGAGGCTGTTGAAGCTGAGGCTGTTGCTGCTCCTGTAATCACGTCCACCGAAGCTGCTCTAGCTGAGGTTGACGAAGCCATCCCTAGGGATGATGTCCATACCATCACTGCTGTTGGTGATGATGATGATGATGTTGATGTGGATGAAGAAGATGGTGATGAAGACGATGATGAACCTGTCATTCCAGACACCAGAGATGATTTAGATGGTGACGACGACGATGATGATGAAGATGACTTTACCATCAAGTTCCAGAAGCCATCAACCGTCACCAAAGGTGTTGCCCTTGGGGAAGCTCAATCCCAGGGGAAGCAAAGACAAGGTGAATCGACTCCATCAGGACACCAGGACCCCAAGTCGAAAGGCAAGGCGATCGCTGAAGAAGGCAACTTGAAGGTACTTTTCTCATGCCCTCAACAAACCTTATTTGAAGACTCTACCTCTCAGGTAGTGATCACTTCAGAGTACCAACTTCACATCCCTTCAACAACCTACGGTCGACTGGAGTGGGTATCT